TCTGCGGGCAGGGAGTGTTGACTGCCAGGTGTCTTCCTTCTCTGCTCGCTCTGGAATTCGGTCTTAGCAAGTGTTCAATATTCTGGAGGCAAACTGGGCATAAGTACCGATGGACTTCCTTGATGTGACTGCGACGTTCCCTTGAGTTCTGTCTCCTGGGTTGTCATCCGGGACTAAGTGCGGACTTAGCTACACTGGGGTCCAGGAGTCACTTCTGGACCTTTTTGTTAAGGCATCATTTCCCCCACTGACCTACATTAGATGAGCAGCCTATTCTGGAAGAAGCTACTCCCCAACACAGCTGAAGTACCTCATACCAAGGGGGTGGTGGTACCAGGCGAGTATGGACCTCCCGTGTGGCTTCTCCCCAGCAGAGATAACGAACACGCAAAAACTTCTCGGTATGATCTAGCCATACCCAAACGTTCCGTATTAATAGTACTTAATTTTCTAATAGCTTAGGCCTTTGTTACGATAATTTCTAAAATTTACATGGAATGCTAACTACGTATGTTGCTTGCTAACATTAAGAAAGAACATTAAGCCAGAGTTTAAAGAAACAACCAGCTCTTATGGATGCATCTTGCCGAGCCTCTCTGATGCCGAGCCTCTCTTAATCTCCACTCACTTACGCAAAAGGTATTTATGAAGTGTTTACCATGCCCCGCAAAAGTACGTGAGTCACAAAGCTGTCCTCAGGGTGGCTCGTGACCTAGCAAAGTGGTGGGTTCTGATTTGCGTTGTTAACCTGGGCTGAATGCGTCCTCCGGGGCGGAAGTTATCCCCGCCAGCTCTCATCCCTCCACGGGAAGCACGGGGACGTGCTGTCTCGGGTGGATCTTCCACTTGACTAGTTGCCTCTGCCTTTGCCAGATTGGGAGCAGAAGGTCTGCAACCAGTCCTCCGTAGCTGCTTTATCAGCAGCCGTCTTACAAGCTATCGCTTCTGCTTCCTTAGCTCCAGGAGTTCATTTATGTCTCTTCTCTAGTTAGGACGGTGTTTCTGTGATTCCCTAGGGAGAATCCTCCACGACTCCTTCCTAAATACGCATCAGTGTTCACCAGGGCCCCCCCCCCCCTTACCAAGCCCGCTCACATCTGCTAAAGCTCACTGCTAGGGCAAGGATGCTCTGGCATCATATGGGGAGAGAGGCACTTTCGGATCAATGCGGACGTTCACTGAGCGCTTGGTAGCACCATCGGAGAGATGAATCAGACGGTGCCGGCCACCAGGGGAATGTCACGGCCGGGCAGTGATGCCGCAGGAGTCTGTCTAGCAGTGCGGATACAGCCACTGAATTTGGTCAGCAGCCCCGGACGTCTTCAGCAGCTGAGCACAGACCCACCAGACGCTGGTATTAACCTAGACCTTCATTTTAAGACTTCTAGTCTGATCCGCTGCTCTGTCCTCTGAGCCTCACTTCCGCCCGCATCGCTCACTGACACCAAATCGCCAAATTGCCGATGGTCTGCTCGTCACTAACTGCACCGGACGTATTTGGTCCTCGGCCCCTCCTCGCTCTGGAGGCTGACCGCTGGACTTCACTCAGCGGTCCTGTGGCCTCCAAGCCGTGCCCTAATCTCTCCGTCCCCATCTCCTCCTTTCCGAAACGAAGATAATGATAATACCGAATCCATGAGGTGCTGTGGCCGTTAAATGAAAGAACCAGGGTAAATAACTATTCCCTACATCGACGACTCTGAAATTTCAGGCTCCTTGCTGCCTCCAGGTGCATATCGCCCGCTGCAGTTGGCCATCTTGCACGTGAAGTCGACATCGTAACGTTAACACGCCCAAACCGGACCCTTGGTCCCCTCGCCCGCCCCAGCCACGCCACCTGGCTCTCAGTTGTCTCTGCTCAGTAAATAGGAGCTCCACTCTGCTAGTTGACCAAGTCGAAACTTCTGGCGTCAGACTTGACTCTGCCCTCTTGGCCAGTCTCCTAGCCAGTCTGTCAGCACATCCTGTTTTCTCCTCTCCACAGTCGTTCCCAGCATGTACCCACCCCTTACCTCCCTGCCTCAGGCATCCTGGCCAGTGTTTCTGGCACTTTTGCTCACCCATTCGTCAGTAGTTAAGGTCTCTATTTGCCCCGGGGATTCCTCAAAAAGTGCTCTTCAGTAGGTTTTTATAACGCGAGGAGCTATATTTAGGAATCATCCAAATGAAGCATGTTGCTTTTAATCAATCCACCATGAGGTCATCAAGTGTCAGAGGGGCAGCCTAGAGCCTCACTGCTCTCAAGTGTGGTCCATGGGCCAGCAGCCTGGGAATCACTTGAGAGGCCGTTAGAAACGCAGCACCTCAGGCCATTTCCAGAGCTGCAGAATCAGAATTTGCACACGAATCTTATTAAAGTTCAAGAAGCAGGGTAAGAAGTCATTTAGCCCAACTCTCTCCCCTCCAACACACACACACACACACACACACACACACACACACACACTGTATAGATAAGGAAACGGAGGCACAAAGTAATACACTGAAAGACACAGTTGAACAGTTGCCATTTCTTTTCTGTTAAGAGGCATTTTCAGAGCCTTATTCAAAGAAATCTGTTGGAAGAATTTAGCAAGCAATAAACCTCTAAAAAGCTTTGGAGATCTATTAACTATTCCTTTGATCAGCAGGAGCTTTCTTTACAATGTGCCCTTGGAAGCTAGAGGGATTAATTATGTAGCAGTTTGCCTCAAAACATTTTCCTTTGATTGGATTTAATCCCCTGTCCATGCAATTTGGGAAACAACACAGAGAAAACACTCTGCCTGTGTATCCAGGCGGCCACCGGCCTCCCCACGGCCATGGCGAGGAGGGTGCTGGCTTTTCAGAAGCAGTGCGTGGCTTCCGGTCACAAGCTGTTCTGTGCGACATGTTTCATTTGCGTTCTAAAAAACACACAGGGCATACAGATACTGTTTCTGCCAGCCAAGAGTCATGTCAAAATCCTTGAGGAAGATTTCCAAAGGCACCTTGGAAGAGGGTACTCTTCCTGCCCTTTCTTCCTCACGAAGCGTAAGAAGTCTCTGTGTTCTCTCTCATGGAAGACTTTGGGAAAGTCTGGCTGTTTCTGGTTGTTGTGTACAACCCTGCTTGTGGATGCACCGGAAACAGAGAAGCCCGTTTCAGCTCGAATAACGCCAAGTAATGATGTTACCCGGTGCCTTCCATAACTGCATTTCGGTATGACTCCATGTGGTTATAACTTTCTTGGAAGAGAAGCAGAGGGAATAGAACGTAATTAAGACAAATTCCTAGAAATATTCTTTAAAAAAAACTGGGTTAGTCACATCCACTGGAGGATATCGCAAAGCCCCACGGTACCTTACTTTTCACTAAAGCAACGAAATTTTGCCCGGAAAGGAAAAAAGGCAAGCTTGGATTTGGAAGATTTATCCTTGCCTTTAACATGTGCTGGGGTTTTTGTTTGTTTTGGCTTTTTGATAATTTTTTAATGTTTATTTGTTTATTTTGAGAGACAGAGAGAGAGGGTGCGCAGGGGAGGGGCAGAGAGAATCACAAGCAGCTCTCCTCTGTCAGTGCAGAGCCCTTACACGGGGCTCCATTTCAGAAACCACCAGATCATGACCCGAGCTAAAATCAAGCCTCAGACACTTTTAACCAACTGAGCCCCCCCAGGCGCCCCTAACATGCCCTGGTTTTATCTCTCACATTTTGGTTTGTCACCCAGAAAACGGAGCAAATATTTCAATGGCTTCCTCAGCAGATACCTAGAATCCAGATGTGTGGTGTCTACAGCAGGTTAAGGTCTGTTTAAAAGCAAGAAGGACTCTCTTTCCGGCTATGTGGAGGGCTGGATGTTTAGAGAAATTTTTTCCACTTTAGCACACGCCTCAACTTGCTGGGAAAAAGAATTTGAAAGAAAGTTCTAGTTAACGCATGGTGGAGCTGGCAGCAAAATAAGGCAATTCCTTAGCGTCTAGAAATAATAATAAAGCAGGAATCCAGAGACATAAGCGGGTGAAGACCAGTGTTTACTCTGCACACCCCCGGGGCCTCAGACTGGAGAAGAAAAAGGCCCATGTGCGGTCAATAGAGGACAAAACCCGATGAGCAGGCAGAGTGACAGGTGTGATGAGAGGCCCTTTGGGAGAATGCCGATACCCCAAAGTAAGTACCTTTAGTGACACCAGGAAAAAAGAACGCCCTGCAGAGGAATTTAGTAAAGAAAAATGCTGTATTGACCTTAACTCGCGTGGGGAAGAAAAGGAAGAAATGGGGGAGGAGTAGGAAGGAAAGAAAAAAGGAAGCAAAGGAAGGAGGAAGCTCTTCTTACTTGGGTTTAGGGCCTGAATTCGTACTACCTCTATGGGCAAAGTAGAATAATGTAACATTTTAGTTTAATTTGTTTCAAGTGGCCCACTCGGATAAATGCACCAGGCACTTGGCAGAAGTAACCCAAATGCCCTCTGAAGTAAGAGAATTTAAACCCCAGACCTGAGAAATTTCCAGAATTGAAATTTCTGTGATTTCAGAATTGAAATACACCAAGTATATGTGAAAATGAGCCACCATGCGTAAGAGTGAGCTGAAACAACTTTTTTTATGATCAGACTGGTCAGAGATTGTCTATGTTGGAATTATCAAATAAAGAAATATATAACTACATAGCTATATGTATTTAAAGGTATGAAAAATGGACTAGAACGTATAACAAAGGAGTAGGACACCATCGAAATTGAACAGGCAAATTTTAAGAAAACCAAACAGAACTTTTAGAAATTTAAAAAGAGAGAGAGAGAAATTTGATTGTTGGATTTGCTACCGTACTGGATATAGCTGAGGAGAGAATTAGTGCTGTGAAATACATAGCCAAAGAAATTGCTTAGAGTATAGCCAGCGTGACAAAGTGATAGAATTCACGACAGTAAAAGAGACACAGAGGATGAGCAAGAAAGTCCAATGTGCATCTAACTG